AAATGGAAAAGGTCTGTCAGCGAAATCGCCAAAAAGGTAATCTGGTGTATCTCTAAGTCTGCAAATACGACAAGCTCGACAACAGGAAACAAGCATACATTGGATAATATCAGACGTACGATTAAAATAAATTCAGGGGCTGTATTATTTATTAAGGGTCTATATTACAGGTTTCACTTACTCATACAGGACCGCTGTCCGATCTCGATGCAAATTTGAGCCTAACTCTGTTTCAAGTAAATTGAGTCGAGGGTCATCTAGTAAGGGGGAGCTGTCGTACAACACTTCATACTGCCTAAAGTACTCTAATTCTTCGAAGGGAAAAGAAACTCAGAGGTAGGCTTAAAAATGCAAGCGAAATGGCTCATACACCCCGGTGATTTCCTCCTCCTGCAAAAACTACAATTTTGTAAGCGGTAGCAACTAATGCACTCTTCCCCCTCCTTCCTAGATTACAATGAGACTCTGACTCGATATAAACTTTTCCATATGATGAAAGATCTGACTTATAAAAAAATGATTCAGCTTGTGTACATCTCTCGCATGGAGGGTCCGTTGGAAGGACACCCTTTAATTTAGCAATTATTGAAATAAACGCATTTACGTGAACAGCTTCAGTGACTCAGTTGTTCCCAAATGTCATGACTTTGAACTGACCGCGTTGCTAATGCTCGCACCACCCCTCAGGTGCCTCAAGATGTGAAGAGCATAGTCATTTCACATCGGTTTTACCAGAACTTGCCGACATTGATCACTTAAGTAGATATTATATTGAAAGGACCGTTCTCCTCTATTTTAATGCACATATACACAATTTGCACACTTTTATAGCACAAATATTGATAACAATTTTTGACTATGACTGACCAGAACGTAATATCAAACACACACGCAGACAAATCATGGACAAATAATTAAGAAGGAGAACCCGTTAATTTCTCAAACAATTTGATAATCATGATGATAACACAATTTCAATTTGATTGCTGATTGAGCGACATATTAGTGGGTCTATGTTAGCAGAAATGGACAATCTACCCTCAAATGTCGCCAAAACCTTCACGCACATTGAACGAACATCGATTTGGCACATTAAAAAAGACTGCTTGAAAAACTGCTTTTGTAAGCTGAAACATGAGTAGAAAGCATATGAAATACTAAAACAATATGAACAGGCACACTAGTTATCAAAAAAAACATAAACACACAACGCAGAGATTTCTTGGTCCTTAAAACCGCCAAGGGTAGCTGTCACAAGCCCAAAGAGATTCTTTAGTAAATGGGAGAAAGTCTTAGCTTCACCGGTACAACTGGTCGGCGATCAGTGGCGCCATGGAACAGCGTGTCCATATCTAAACCGAATATTCACACGCTGGTTTGCTCATGTACGGCTCGACAAGCGGATTCAGCCAACGCACTGAACACGGGCCCTCCAAATACCGACTGCATGTTCTTCTTCCACGAGATCACTTTATGGCGATCTTCGTGTCCACTGAAAAAAATCGAAAAATTTGAATTTTCTGAACCGGCGCACAGCTTTGCATTATGTCTGCCTTGATGCCACAAAGGAAACACTCATACATATAAATGCGACAACTAAACGATTGACGCCGAAGCGTAACATGGCGTGGCTCCCATATTCAGAAAACGATTCATTTAATAACTTGCAGTTTTCGATAGTGACAACGGTGAAGAAGCCACGGGGAAACTAAGCTGTCACCGAGCTCGCTTGGTAGACAATTCTTCCCATATATAGCGATAGTAGTCCAAACACGACACCCACCACCTTCCTCATAGTTTGCAGAACAAGGCTAGGTCTCGTTTCCAGGCGTACTATCAAGCCATCTTGATTTAGATATGAAGGGAAATTCCATTTCAATGAAAAATCGATCATGCACTAAGAGAGTGTGTTGAGATCACATGTATTAGTTAATGCACTGCGTTCGTGGAGAAGGACGTAGTTTGTACAGTTATCACTTAGCACACAGAGGACGAATTAGGTGTTCAATGACGCACTTTCCTCGATTATACTGGCTGGCTTTCTAGTGTAATACTGTTATCCATCGCGTGATGGCGCGGTAGTTAGCGAAACGTTCTTCCGAATTTTTTCCTCAGTGTGAGTCAGACCACCGCATAACGGCATAAGATGCACCGACGATAGTCGAGCCGTCGCAATGCGCTTAAGTAGGGTAACAGTCAATTGAGGACTTTGAAGAGCCACGCAGGGGTGCCGAATCACCACCATGAAGATGCCGCTCTCTAGCTTTGATGGCCATTTGATTTTAAATTAGCGCGTGATTTTTCAGTTTCGACTAAGCTCGCGTCAGCCCACATGTACTGCCTCGGCTTAGCAAAGCTTTATATATACTCGCACTACCTGCTCTTATACGGCGCAGGCTGTCTATCGTATTATGTTTGTGGGCTCTTGCCTGTTTACGATGGTAAGCAAAAAGAGCGTATGTGAACTGTATGTGGATAGCAGATGGCGGCAATAAATTTTGCTTCGAGACTTTGAGAGTGACAGGAGAATAAATGCCTTTAGAAAATACAGAGTAGCTGACTTGTGTCATACTTCAGAATGATTTACATCAAAATTAGACATTAGTGACATGTGTTAGCGCTACACACATGATGGGGATAGGAGATCTCCATATTAGACGCAGGGCATGAGTGCTGATGAATCTCACTCTCGGGGGTCCTGGTCCGATCACCTACAGGAAATGCTCCACTCAGAGAATACGTATGCTTGCACGTGTCTATAGTGTTTCAGGTTGTGATTTTGCATTCGTAATATTGTCTCTCTGCGAATTATAAAAACGCTTTCTTTTACAAGTGAGACAATCGATCGCAGTGGCCTGCTTCTCACTCAGATGCAATACAGAGTGCGAATATATAGATTTGTGCACAGCAACTAGAGACCTTGTCCAAATGAGAGTTCATCGATTAATTTGTGAGTGGCGTTGGTATGGGCTACTGGCATCTAACGGTTAAGAGCTCAGAGCGACACAGCGAGACTACGCACCACGCGCAGATCAAGACTTGACAGACTGTTTGATTAGTGTCGTTGTGTTAGGCACGTAAGTATGAGATAAAGATCAGCGTCAGTTTATGTTTTCTGTGTGGTTCATATCAAACACCGATATGGGTGAGTGATCTGCGTGGAAGCCATAGCCGTTATAGCTCAAAGCCGCTCAAACAAAAGACTAAAGTGGGAACACAGCCCAGCAAATTTCAGTGACAGTAAGGACAAGCTTCGTATTATACTACTTAGAATTCTTTTGATATAATGTAATTCCGTGGTGTCCACTGGTCAAAGACGGCTCAAGAAGAGCACCGTGAAAAGAAGTTGAGACCCGCGAGAATCGCGCTGATAACGGGTCGCCAATAATCCAAGTAAGTATAATGTAATTCAAAAATTGTGTTGTTAACATGGTGAACAATTTCCCCTCCCCAACCAGCAGCAATTCATGCGCAACTATTTGGTTGTATGCAGGTTGGGACGACAGCACCTACTGTGACAACAGCGCAGTCTGCAAGTGCTATCTTTACTCTCCAGGTCGCTAACCATCGAACATCGCCATTCAGGCACTGGTGAAGTCTATGAGCCAAAAAACAGGATCTTCGGTGAACCTTTTGGAACAATGTTCCCTGAAAACCCATTTGGCAATGTTCCCTGAAAACCCATTTATCACATGCGATGGTCAATTTACCTACAATTCTCGGAAATTTGAACTGCTATGTATATGCACTTATGACATCACTAAACAAACAACGCAGACTCGCTGCGGCGCACGGCAAGGCAATCATGTCAGAAAAACAGGGAACGATCTTATTCATTTTCTTGATGGACTCTGAGAACGGCCAATTTTCTTTTGCTGCAGGGATGATCGTTAAGCTGTTCTGGATGCGCCATCAGAATTTCGAAAGCTGCGAAACTGCATTTTACGACGCTTTGAACAATTTGTCATTTCAACATTGTGAAAAAATTCATCGCAAACTAAGCGGTACATCGTTAAAAAATATAAAAATGCAGTTAGATTCAAAAGGATGCTGCTCGAAGGCTCGCATTGAAAGACACCTTCAAGGTAAGCCCACGTTCTTAACTGCTTGCCCTCTAACATAAAGCTTGACCAATCATTTCACTAGCGAACACAAGGAAACACTTCTAGTCACTGCGTTTTCTCTTTAACCGACGGAACACCAAAACATCCAACTGCTTACCAGCATAAGTGTTGTCCTGGTGGACCAAGATTGCTGCAGCTGTGCATTCTTTTCCAACACAGAGAACAAATTGCCATATTCCCCAGTAAAGCGCATGGAATGACAACAACGCTATGTACATCTGAAAACAATTTATTGAGCTGTGGAAAAGCAATCATTCGGGTGGAAAATCCAATTATCCAGTGGTTCCTGGCATGCGGTCCTCATGCAAAATGAATGCCCCTCTCTGTGGAGAAACGCAATTTCAGTAGAATGCTTCTGCACTGCGGTCGATCAGTGGCCAATTCAAAAATTCAAAAGAGGGGATGGAACAATAGAATACTCAGGCCATTAAGGACAACAAAAATATAATCACCGAGACAGAAGGTACACTCACAATGAAGCAACATTCGAGCATTTCACCCTTCTGTGCTGTTCTGATACCATTTGAGCTTTTAGAAAATTTGAGTCAACAAGTTCAGAGGATAGGGAGACATTTTCTTCCAATGAGCTACAGAAAGAGCTTATAAAATACATAATGGAGCACTACTTGTCGTCTGATTCACACAGCAGCATTGAATTTTGTATCAACTGTTTGGTGGATTGCACGATTACCAGACTTCTTGTCTCAACATTTGGCGATGATTTCCTGCACATTTTTCCTCACGCATTAAGGGAATCGTTAGAGAATAGGTTTGTGTTATGTATCAAAAAGTGCGGTATACTGACTTGCGGGCGAGCTTTCAATGACATCAAATCAACAAAAATTGTCAAGCAATAGAAAAAACATCAAAGTTATGGCGACTCGTAGAAAACCCCTTCCAAGTACAAACATTTGAAGCGAGCAATACAATGTAAATTAGCAATATCAAAGTTTGTTTTGAAAAAAAAAACTACCAGATACTTACTTATCTAACCCTAGAAAAGAAATCAATCAAGAAATGTTTCAGCTCTTGATAATTCAATTCCGAAAAAAAAATAATGTCTCGGTTTTTTGACAGCTGCGGAAACGTCTATCTTCATTACTTCATAGGTCCCCACCTACAGTGAGTTCGAATATGGTAATGGAAGATGTACATTGAGCCCAAAATTTGCACTCTATGTTTACCATTCCTAAGAGCTTCACCAACACGCCTTTAGCCCACTCCATAAGAACCACAACACATGACCAAAATCTCGGTAAACATATAACGAATGTGGCAGTAAGTCCAAGGAAACTGGGTCTGCGGACAACTTGAACTCGGTCCTTTCAAACCGCGTCGACTCGATGCTCTCGCCTGCGCTCTCTCGCTTAAACAGCGGCTTATGATTATTGTGATCTGACACATCAAACTTTGCCACAATGTAATTGGCTCACCCACTCCGGAGTCCCTCCTCCCTCCAAGGCTTAGTCCTAGGGCTCTCACCTTCCTTCTTGGGATTTGGAGCCGAGCCAGGCGCCGTTCTCTAATCGTCTGTGCTCTGGCCTTTCGGCAGAGAACACAGGGGAGAGTTCAAGTAGTCACGTAATCAGGAAACTGAGCTGACCGTAAACAGAACGAAATACTTTTGATTCGCCTCGCCCACACAGTTGTTCACCCAAGGGCAATGATGATCCATGCGCCGAATACAACGATCGCAAACCGAGCAGTGGTGCGCACGATCCGGTTTGATACTGCAGCACTTCTGACACTTATAGATCACCTGAAATAATGCATTGAATTGTTAGCTGCACATGAAATTCCTAAATAGATGGTCGGGTTTTTCACAAGCTTATCAGCTCCAGCCCAGTGTCCTTGGAAACACCCATTAACATGATGTCATGCAACTCTTTGAAAACAATGCATTACGGCTCGAAAGGCCAAATTCGCGCTGGACAAAATTGACCGCAATGCAAGTCGAGGGTATGCTTCACAGGTACCAACGGAAACAAAAAATGAGAAAAAAATCGAAAATCGAGAAAACAAGACGAGGTGCTTCTCACCTTGAATTCCTCTGCAGCTTGAAG